ACCTCAGTTGCATTCACAATGACCAGAATATTCAGACTAATTCATCCAGCTCCGCTTGTAGTTCGCATACGCTCCAGGGAGTGTTGCACCTATTTGTTTCGGGCTCTGAAGTTCTTGGGCTGGATGCCACCAAAGCTGGGTATTCCACGTTACTTGCACCTGCTCTATATTTGCTTCTTTTTCTACTTTCCACTGATATATGGACCGTTGGGTTTGCTTGGAGGACTCATTAGTAATTTAAAGAGCTTTAGTCCTGGAGAGTTTCTGACTTTGCTGCCGCTCGATATAAATTGTCTTGGTGTGTCCATTAAGAGTTTTATTTTATACATATACATGACGCGTGTGCACGAGACATTATCGACTCTAGATGATCTGGATGAGCGACTACAAAATGACAGCGATCGTAGGAAGATCCACGCAGCTGTGGCTAGATCAAATTACATATTTTTCGTTTATGCTCAATTCTATTATGCTTATACGGTGTCTGTCTTTATCATTGGAGTATTAAGCGGACATCCACCGTGGCTAACTTACAATCCGATCTTTGATTGGCGCGATAGTGTTGGAAATTTTTGGCTGCAGACGATTTTTGAGTATCTTGTGTTCCTATTTCAGACGATGTTAGCTTTAATTAGTGACACATATACGATTGTGCTCTTAGTAAACTTTCGAGCTCATATCGATGTTCTCAAAGACCATATTCGCAACCTGCGCACCGATCCTCAACAGACAGAGGCAGAAAACTACGATGAGTTGGTCTTTAACATTATTTATCACAAACTAATCATACGGTAAGTCCATTTATCCTATACTTTAAATTCCCTTTTGCTATCAACTCCTCTTCACAGATGCTGTAATTTAATGCGTCCAATCATGTCGCAAACCATTTTCATACAGTTTTTACTGATTGGAATCGATTTGGGTATAGCTTTGGTCAATGTGCTATATTTCTTTGGATTATTTCGGGCCATCTCTGCGAGCATATTTGCCACAGCAGTCTTATTAGAGACCTTCCCATTCTGCTATCTGTGCGATTTATTGGCCAAAGACTGCGAGGAACTATCGAACATTTTATTCGATTCACACTGGATTGACGCTGAACCCAAATATAAATCCACACTTAAGTTCTTCTTGCAGAACCTGCAACAGCCGATTGCCTATAAAGCTGGAGGTATTTTTTCCATATCATTGAACAGCAATATTCAGGTGGGTACATTGATTAATTTAAATATGAAAATAAATGATGGGCTAATTTTAAATCACTTTCAATCTACAGGTGGCCAAGTTTGCGTTCAGTGTTATGGCTATAGTTAAGCAAATGAATTTGGCCAATCGATTTAAATAATTATTGGAATTCCCGAGCTGAACAGACATAATTTTCCTAATATATATTTGTAACCATCCACTATAATGACAATGACAATGATAATGACAATGACAGTGACAATGACAATGACAATGACAATGACAATG